AGGGGGAGGGGGAGGGGGAGAGGAAGGCGGAGGGGAAGGAGAAGGAGGAGGAGGAGGAGGGAGAGAAGGGGGAAGTGGAGAGGAAGAGGGGGAAGACAGAGGAGGGGAAGATGGACAAGAAGGGGGAGGGGGAGGCAGAGGCGGATGAGAAGATGGAAAAGAGGAAGGGTGCGGAGGAAGGGGAGGGGGAGAGGGAGAAGGAGAAGCAAAGGAAAGGGGAGGAGAAGGTGGAAGAGGATGACGCACGGACCAGCGAAGCATACGTCGAAACCATTGTGTAAGACGAGTTACATGTAGAGGTTGTCGACTCAAGTCCGTCCTCGGGCCAATGTCGAAAGAGCATGGCCTCGGGAAAGCAAACGACGGACAAGCATGGTTGCCGCAGTTCTGAAATCATGCCAATGTCACAAATCTGCTCAAACCGCGTAAGCTGGCCGGTGAACACACCTGCAGGCTGATGCGATGGAATGTTTGACGTTGCACTAGGATATCGTATAACAGGAAAATCCCATGCAACTGTCTTGTCAAACACACTCTATCGGAGAGATCCATCTGCTCGTGTCTGCAGTTTCGCACCTAAAGAGGTGCACGAGCCATCCGCCACAGTGGTCTCTTTCCATTCAAGACCATAATAGGCTGGCGATGGTGAGGGATCCACACGCTGCAAGTTGTCCACGTACCACGCCTCATCCCAATAGAGTGTGAGGTTAGCAATCTCAGGACCAGGGTCCGTACCCATAGGAATGCCAGGCAACTTCTTGATGACGAACAAGGCCATCACTGTATATATATTGTCACAAGAGTATCAGAGCGCAAATGCGAACGAAAAGGAATACAGAAAGAAAAACAGGAAAAAATGAATTCAGTTTTTTATCTTCTTCCTTATAACTCCCCCTGTTCAGAACCTCTTGCATACAATGCCGCCCACGTGGATGTAGGTCTATAACTGTAGTAACATAAACCGAAGATGTTGAAGAATGTCAGACACAGAAAGAGTGTCAGGTACCGTATCCGTAGTCCATTACCCTGCACGCGGTCCACGGACCACCATACGAAGAAGAGCAACACAAGATGAACGTAGTGTGTCCGTGTATGCTGCCGTGCGTGTGCAAGAGCATAGGCATATGTGCCTCATCAACATTGTATTGGCGACGATCTGCATGGGCGACATCTTCAAGTACTTCGGGCTGCCGCTGATGTCAACAGTTGCATTGTCATTTCGTAGTCTGTAGTAGCTGTGTAGGAGTAGGCTGAGCGCTGAGCGCCAAGTGTGAGTGTAACGGAACTGGACTCTTGTGTTGAGAGGAGAGAGTATTGTTACGATCCTGGTCATTTCCCAAGTGCAAATTCACAATGAAAGACAATGCCACCCAATTGGGAAAGAAATGAAAGCACTTGCAAAGAGAGAGAGACCAGAGGAGAGGTAAAGAAGAAGAAGAAGAAGAAGAAGAAGAAGAAGTACACCAGCAAGACCAATGACAATTCCCCCTTCTCTCTCCACCTTCCTCCTTCCTCCTCTTCACCAATCTTATTCTTCTCTCAATAATAATAATAACAATGAATGGATGAACCAGAATCAATGTCCGAAGTCCCCTCTTACTGCTGACTCAACTCACAACAACAACAACAACAACAACAACAAGTCCACCATGGCTGTCTTCCCTCCTTCAACCTCCTCTCTCATGCATAGGCCATGGCGGACTACTGGGTGGCAGCTATGGTGCTGCCCTGATGTCCAGAAGACAACCCAAAACARCKATGYYGCTGCTTGACTTGGTCCGCTATGCCTGACTCTGCCTCRAGCTGCCCTSGTGCAGCGCTACCCCAACTGGGGCCTTYCWGATGCAGCGCCCAACAAGGTGATGAAGACGGTGTCCACCATAGCCAGGTAAGTGCCCTACCACTCTCCTACCATGCCCCCTTCTTCCTCCTCCTCAAGCTGGGGTGCTCGCCATAGCCAGGCTGAGCCCCAGCGGACCTTCACCTCCAAGCAGCGCTGCTTCAGTCCAGCGCTGCTTCAGTCCAGCGCTGTGCTCCCGCAGAATGTCGCCAATCCTTGCATACCGCAAATGAGGAGGAGCTCTCCGCTCTTCCTGAAGATATAGCGGCCTACCGGCATCCTGGGCGGTGACTTCCTAGGCCAAGCGGCCTCCCAGCAACAGGTACCTCCTCCCTTTTGGAGGGAAACATCATTGCAGGCTCTGTTATTGTCCGCACAGGCCCTAGACCCGGGCTACTTGGACTGGTACCGGCCTACCTCTAACCTACCGCTACTGGGCCTCTAAAAATGTCAACTTTTTGTCTTCTTCTGCTCGGCCTACCTGCTACTTGAGTGTTTTCCCCAGCTGCTCTAAGTGTCGTGGGCCTACTCCCCGCTACCGGCGTATTTACCCCCCTGCAACCCTTCAAAGTCACGGCCACAGGTAAGTACCGGCCCGGTGGGCCTTGCAACCAACAAGTACACCTGCGGGTCACCCCACATACCCAACCAGCAAGCACTCAGACAGGCATGCAAACCAGCAGGCACGCATACACACAGACTTGGGACGATAGCAGAATGCGGGAATCACAGCAAGGCATTCATTCCAGTGACAAATCCCAAAAATCAGCAGTGTTCTCAGTCTGTGTTTTTGGCGGGTCATTACATTACTCCCCTCTCGAGAGCGAGGTCCCTTCGAGCGAGTAACTCAGTCAGAGTCGGTACAGAACGCATCGTAGGAGTACATCAGAAAAAGAGACTTGGTCAATCCACGAGGAGTCATTGTTGCTACGAACTTAGCGGTCTGTCCCTCGGTGATCTGTCTTTCGTAAGTGTTCACAACACGGGGAGCACTTTTCAGCAGCTCTTTCCGGTCGATCCAAAAGAATTCAGTCAACGGGTGATAGAGGAAGTGAACCTTATATTGTCTGTTCCTCCCTCTGCCCTCGTGAGATACGATTCTGTCTATCTCATGGCCGTCATCGATAGCGCGAGGTATCATCAGGTCCCAGAAAGGAAAGGTCTCATCATCAATGTGTGGGAATAGTTTGGACGCATGAAAGACCGGATACGTGCGCAGATGAGGAGGCACGTCAATCACAAATGAAGGGCCAAAGTCATCCCCGACTACCTTCAGAATCTGCCAAGGGCCGTAGTACAGTGGAAGAAGCTTCCGTGATATGCCCTCTTCATCAAAAAACTCAGACATTTTGACCCAAACATAATCCCCTAATTTGAATTTTTCTTCTTTGCGCAGCTTATTGGCATGTTTGATCATGGCATGCTGGCACTTGTTCATAGCTGCTGTAGCAGCTTTGAGCAAGCGTGCGTACTTGGCATTGTAGCCAAGCATGTCGGGCATCAGACCAGGTGACCGTTCGGGGAACAGATAGGAGAGGGGATTACGCATCGGCCATCCATACTGCAATTGGTTTGGTGTCACACTAGTCGCAGAGTGAATGGAGTTGTTGTACAGCCCCTTCACTTTGTGCAATTCCTTGTCCCACGTGTTCTGATCTGGAACAATTAGTGCGCGAAGCAATTGGATGACAGTCTGGTTGATCTCCTCAGCCAATCCGTTGGCTTCGGGGTGTCGACCAGAAGTCCTGTTCAGTTTGATGTCGTAGATCTGAGATGTGAAGTCTTTCCAATCTTTGCTGATGAATCTGGTGTCCCGGATCACTCACAATAGTTTTCGGGACGCCGGACTGCAGAATGTACTGCTGATGGAATTCTTCTATGACAAGTTCAGTCGGGGCATGAGGAGGGAGAGGAATCAAGTTCAGAAATTTGGAGAAGCGGTCCACAATGACCATGACTTGTGAATTCCCAGCCTCACTCACCTTTCCCATGTCCRTGAAGTCGATKGAAATCGATTCACCAGGTCCATCAGGAATGGGGAGAGGTCTCAATAGGCCATAAGGCTTATGCCTGTGGACCTTGATTCTTTGGCATACTTGACATTCAGCAATGAATTTCTAAGCAGATCCTTTCATTCCCGGCCAATCAAATTGCTGCAGAAGACTTCCATAAGTCTTCTCAAAGCCAAAATGTCCACTCCAACCATGTGCCAAATCCAAGAAATGAGTTCGGAGAGGCGCATGGTTGGGTACACACAAACAGTCAAACTTCCCATACTGGCGGAATACCAGACCCTCGCATTCATGAAAATCAGGCTGGCTGTTAGGGTCAGCCTTGAGCTGCTCAAGGATGGGACTGAGGTCCGGATCCTTGGCGGTGTGTTCAACCAGATCCTCCTTCAGTTTCCTTCGGAGGTCGTATGAACCCACAAGGCAAGTCAAGAATTCAGGATGGCGGGACAACGCATCAGCAACCCGGTTATAACAGCCTTTCTTATGTTTCAACTCAAAGCTGTAGACATCAATGTCATGCAACCAGCRSGTCAATGTAGGAGASAGTTCARATTGTGTYTGAATCCACTGCAAGGTCTGATGATCAGAGTAGACCTTGAAGTGGCGACCCAAGAGGTAGTGTTTCCAATGTGCGAGGGCTTCGCGCAGGGCGTAAAGCTCACGCATATATGTGGAAGTAGGCCATCACCATCATCTTGCTGCAGCACAGCACCAATCCCGAACTGGCTCGCATCCGTAGTGACTATGAAAGTGAGGTTGGGATCGGCAATGCGAAGCACAGGATGACTCACCAATGCCTCTTTCAAGGCGTGGAACACAGTCTCACACTTCTCACACCATGCATAGGCAACATTCTTGCTCGTTAGTCTTGACAGAGGGTGAACAATGACAGAGAATTTGGGCACAAACTTCCGGTAATACGAGGCCAGACCAAGGAAAGAACGCAGTACGTTTGCCGAATGAGGCCAATTTCGGATGACCTCAACCTTGGTTGCCTCCGGCTCAAGGCCGTTTGCAGACAACCGATGCCCAAGATAGATGACGTTGTCCCTCCCAAACTCAGATTTCTCCAAGTTGAGGTGCAGCTGCGCCTCCTTGAGAACCTGCAAAACTTCCTCAAGGTGCTTGAGGTGCTCCTCCATGGTTTTGCTGAAGATCAAGATATCATCAAGGTACACAACCACAAACCTGTTGAGTTGATGGCGAAGTACCTTGTCCATGAGGCAATGAAAGGTGGCCGGTGCATTCGTAAGACCGAAGGGCATAACGATGAACTCATACAACCCATCGCGTGTCTTGAATGCAGTCTTGTGCTGGTCCCTCGGATCAACTTCAATATCGTGGTAACCAGATTTGAGGTCGATCTTGGAGAAGACCTTGCATCCACCTGCTGCATCTAGCAGATCATCTATGCGAGACAAAGGGTAAGCATTATTTCTTGTGATCCAATTGAGGCCACGATAGTCAATACACATCCGGAGTTTGCCTCCTTTCTTTGGCACAAACAAGACAGGTGCACCAAATTCAGACTCACAGGGCCTAATCCATCCACGGTCAATCATATCATCAATCTGTCGTCTCAACTCCTACAACTCGCCTTGTCCCATACGGTAGACGCAACCCTTTGGAGGAACACTCCCCTCTATTATCTCGATTTTGTGTTTGACCGGACGCTCGGGAACTCCACGAGGTTCGGCCAAAACTTCAGGGAATCGATATAATAGTTGGCGAATGTTTGTTGGGACTTCCGGTGGAGGATCATCCTCATCAGGAGAAAGAAAATTAGACAAAGAATTTACAGCAATTACAACCGGATTAGAAGTAGAAGGATTATTCACAGTAGAAGTAGATGGATTAGAAGTAGAGTTACTTACCGAGGTAGAAAATGCAGCAAAAGTAGAAGGCACATGGAGTGGTTTTACAAGGGCTATATGTACAAACTCAGCTTCCTTGCGCCTGCGCACTGACCTGCAGAATTTGTTAGCACTTAGAAGAGTCACAGGGGACTCGCGCGTCTCATCTAATAAGACGGTACGCTCGTTCCCCTTGGCATCAAGTACCACGAACTGATCCGCCCACGTGGTCCTTAGGCAATGATCCTTTAGCCAGCCCAAGCCAATGACCGCGTCGAAAGGACACTTATCCAGGACATAGAAATTCAGCTCATGTGTGACAGTGCAGTCTTTGTCAAAGGTGATGCGCACACCTTTGACAGCATGAGTGGAAGTAACAACCTCTTGGTTGCCCACCTGAGTCCGGCAAGGGTTCTGCAGTTCCACTTGCTTCATACCCAGGCCCGCCTTACGAATCCCGTTCGGAGAGAAGAAATTAGTGGTTGACCCACTCTCAATCAACACACGGATGTATCGGCGGTTAATGAGTAGTTTTAAGAAAGTCAGCTCCAGGCTCCCTTGAACACGGCGTTGCTGCTTGAGCTGCAGCCAGTGCTCCATGTGGGAATGGAAGTCAACTTCTTTAGACTCCTCCCAAGGCTCAATGTATAACACTTGGACTGCACCAGCCTTGGAATCAGCACTAGTTCGGGCTTCAAGAGCAAGTTGCTGGCCAGATCCAGGCTCCTCGGAAGGGCCTGCAATTGACTACTCAGCTTCCCTTGTTGTAGAGAGTGCTGATGACTCTTCTACGCCCCTTGCCTGTTTCCCTGAAGACGATAGCAATCCTGCACAGCATGCCCAGGTTTTTGACAATGCAAGCATACGTGCAGTTTGGATCTTCTTTCCCATTCCTTTTGAGTGATGCGGAGAGCTTCCCAAGGCTTGGTGGAAGCGTCCTCCAATTTCTCAGGGATCTTAGCATTTTTGGGAAGGTGTAAGACAGTTCCCTTACCCGAACCACGGTTAGGCCCCTTATTTGAAGCAGTCTTTTTGAACACATTAAGTTTCTCATCATCATTTCTGTCACACTCAATGGCTGATGTGGAACAGCCTGTATCGAAGTCTGACTCTAGATCGTCATCTAGAGACAGATCATCCGCATAGGACTGATCGTCTGCCTCCCGATGATCATGAAGTGCAAGCTGGTTGCTGCTTCCAAACCGCTTGCGTTGTGGTTTCATACCTGTAGCGGGCGCCTTCTTGCGCCTGGCGAGGTCCTTGGCCTCTAGGTCGACTAGGTCCTTCATGAGCTCTCGCCAGGTGGCATGGTCCTTGAGTGCTAGCAGGGAGAGGTATTCTTTAGGGGCCACTCCCATGACTACATCCATACAAGATACGTCAGTCATTCCCAGATCCTGAGTGGTGAACAGAACAATCAAGTGTTGTTCCAAAGCCTTCATGGATGACCTCCATGTTTGGCCCTTGAGGGCCTCAAGCTTCAGCCTAGCCTTGAGCGCAGCATGTTTATCTCGGTACCGGTCAAGGAGAAGATCCTCAAGGGCGCGGACAGGGGTGACCTTCAGCCAATCAGTCAGGTCTATGTGTTCATAGCCTGCTGCGACAGCTTGGAGCTCAATGTGGTTTCGTACGGCCGGCTCATTATCAGTCCCCATGATCATACTTCGGTCCTCTTGCGGTGTCCGCATGACCTCGAAGTACGACCTCATGGAACTAATCCAAGAGGTGATGTCTGCCTTCCCGTCGTACTTGGACGGCAACGTGGCCGCCCACTTATCCACATGGGACCGTTGTACTGAACGCCAGTAGGGACTGCGGCGTTTTGGGCAGATGTCCCTGCATTCGGGACCATGACCAGCGCAGAGCTGTCGGCGTTGCCACTCGAGGAGCTGGCGTCGGTTCCTGCGCTTGCCACGGTTCCGCTTGCCCTTGGCACGAGGGTTGTGTTGGCTTGAGAGGTTGGGATTATAGCAGATCGAGGGTTAGGAGGGCGGGAGGCAGACAGTTGGGACTGTTCGAGGCTAATTACCTTAGCCTGCAGCTCTTCGTTCCGCTGCTCAAGTGCTGTCATACGAGACTCAAGGTTTTCCAAGGTCCGCAGTCRGACCAAGGCTGCTACAGCAGCAGCTAGTTCCTCCTGGAACCGGTCAGCATTGGCTTCTGGGATCCGAAGGAGAGGCACCTGATCAGCAATGTCGGCGGCTCTAGTTGCTGCCGCTGCCTCCCTTTCCCTCTGCACAGCATCATCATACAGTTTTTGAAAGAATGGTTTCTGGCTCTCGTGTGCTGCGTCCAGCATGGCCTGCCATTGGGCAGATGTGATGACCGCCATGCTGGAGGGAGGGGCGTCAGTAGAACTCTCAAGAGGGGTCCGCTCTCTCCTTACGTTTGGACGAACACTCCTCTTTCCCTTCCTCACACTCTCAAACAGAACACCTTCTCTCTCCCTTTCTTTTCTCTTTGCCGCCTGCGCACGAGTTGTCGGAGGGCACGGTGTCCCGGCCCTTCATTGTGTACCAGTTCCTCGCTCAGTGCCAGTCCCTTGCCGCAACAGACTGATTCCTAGGTTCATCTCGTGTTGTTTAGGCCTGGTGCCTGGATTATCCTCGGCGCGGACCGGCCCCGGTGGTGTAACCCTCAGCAAAAGGGTGCGCCACAGGGCTTTCCATTGGTCCATGCAGGCTCGGCGCCCTGCTGTACAGCAGAGCACAACCGGCCTGTGGCCGTGGTAACCGTCGGGTTCGCCCTAGGACGCGGAGGTGAGAAGACTGGCGCAGTGGCCTTCTGTCAAGTTATGGGTTAGGTGCAATCACTGTCGGAAAAAGAAGAATAAGATGTCAAATCAAACTCGTTTTCTTTTGTATGGGGAAATCTAGTGGCCTCAGGCCGCTGTGATGCTGTGGTTCCCTTTCCGATTTTGAACTGCCGTCATCATCATTATTATTATTATTATTGCTATTACCACTAAAATTCCCTATTTTCGGTTTTCCGCCGGTCGGCCTGTCACTTCGTAGGGAAAAAGGAAAAGCGTCGATTCGAGTTTCGGACTGTAACAGCGGTCTTATGGCCTGGGTTTACTGATCCCTTGTATATCACTTGTACCAGACCTGCTTGTCCGAACCGTGCGGACCCCGATGGCCAGGCTAAGAGGCAGATACAATAAGGACTAAAAGGAAAAAGAAGAAAAGAAAAATAGTAGAAGAGAGAAAAGGAATGGGAAAAGGTTGAAAGTCGGGTGCTAGATTTGTGCGTGAACGTGGATCGTTGTTCAGGCAAGGGTGCTGCGCGGAGAAACTCTGGGACACCACCCTTTCCTTTTCAGCGATTAATATTATTATTATTATTATTGGTATTATTATTATTTCTTTATCACTATTTAGTTTTTCAAAAATTGGTTTTCAACCTGTTGGCTTATCCTTTCGCGGGAAGCCAACGGTTCGAATTTCGAAGCCAACAGTTCGTAGCCTAAGTAGGCCGACCTTGCTTATACTATCCGCGGGTGAGCCCCGATCTGGCTCCGTGCGATGAGACCCCAAAAGAAGGGTGACCCGCGGCCGCATCGGTAGGAGGCCTATCACCCCCCTGTGGAGGGTCATAAGCCCCCTCCTTGCCATCGGACATGGGTACCCGATAAAGATGGGCTTGTGCTGATTATTTAAAGACGGAGAAGTGACTTATAGTACTCCGTTATGGGACTACGGCGCAAAATCTGCAATCCTATTGCTAAGGTCTGGGACTGACAAGTGGGAGTTTTTGATACGTGCTCGACCGTTGGGTTCTGGGTTGAGTGTTAGTTTCTAAGAAGTTAATTATTAATCCATTGTTCAAAAATTCTCGAAAAGCGGTAGAGTCTGAAGAGGACTAACCAAAGTCCCTCGTTCAGAACGCAGAGGAAAGCCCTATAAGAAAGGAGGGTGAGTCGGGATATCGTCCGTAGCGAGCCACCCGGTAGTATGTTGTCTGTGCCGCAGGCTCCGGTGAAGGGAGGTGTGTTATCGGAAGTTGGTAACTTGCGCTGGGTTGTCTGCTGGGTAGAAGCTGTCTATAGAGAAAGGGCAGCTATGGCGCTGCATGGATATAGGCCCGGGTACAAGTATCACCAGGCCCGCTGGAAGCGTGTGTCCGGGGAAGGGCCCTGGATTACCGTCATACTCAACTATGACGGTGGAGATGAGCTGGTAATGAAGATCAACGTGGAGGGAGCAAGAGAGGGGGAGTTACAGGACGCAACTTCGGAGGCGAGAGACCGGGCTGAGAGACGTTGCATACGGGACGGAGTGACGGCAAGACTACGGATAAAGGTGGCCTATCACGAGACTGAGACCTCGATGGACACAGCAGACCTGGAACAGATCCACCAGGACAGGGACTCAGGAGGGGAAAGCGAGATGAGTGATGCAAACCGGGAGACGGATCTCAGGTCCTGGAATAGACTAGGCGAGATCGAGAGGCATCACCGGGCGATGAAGCCAGTGGAGCCTTGACCCGAGGCCAGCTCTCGGCAACTGGCGCCCAGAGGCCGCGGGACGGGAGAGGAAGGAGGCAGAGGGAAAGGACGAGTGTGAAGGTCCGGCACCCAGGAGGTCAACGGGGACGAGCTGAACTCAAAACGGGGAGGCAAGTGCGACAGAGTGTGTGGCAAGAGAGCGAGAGAGAGGTCAAGGACATAGGAGCGGTATGGGTGGGCAGTGCACGAACCTGCTGGATGTGGTTGACGTCAACCGCTGCCCCCATCCACCCAAGGTGTCTGGTGTCTGTTGAACTGGAGCGAGTGATCAGTCACCGTACCTTTTCGCGCTCTCAGTCAGGGCGACCTGTTTTCGGAGCGCATCTTGTTCACTCGCTAGGTAATTACGGTGCAAGTGCATGAGGGAAGTGATTGATCGAGGCGCACGCGGTACACAAGCTGCACGTGGCAGTGTCTGAGACGACGAGGGAGTGGGATGATAGAAAGGACATAGAGAAAAAGCGGGGCACGAGTTTGCTGTGTATGACTGACGTCAACAGCTGTTACCACACTTGCGAGATGCTTGCGCCTGCTGCAAGGGCAAGTGGACAAGAGATCTTGCCAGAATGAGAAGGCAGGAGGTTTGAAGAGAGAGGGTGGCCCAGGATGCATAGAGGAAATCGTCACTCGATCTGCTTGTCATGCACCAGCTTCGATCCATCCATCGCCTTGGACACAGATTAGCAAGCTTCCGCCGACGCATGGACTGTAATCACCTGCTGGTTGGTACGTGACCAGCGAAAAGTCAAGGCGGGCACACGCATGGATGATGTCAAAGTCGGCACGACTCAATGCGCTGGAGGCTAATATGGAGAGACGCGTATGAGAACTAGGGGGGGGGAAGGAGTGTGGAAAGAGCATGCATAGCCAATAGGCGGGTGCTTCTGAGAAAGGGTACAGTGAGAAGGCCAAAAGGGCGCAGTGGCGGTTGATGTCATAATTACTAGGCTTGGAATAACCAGGACTTCGCCACTTCAGGGACTCAAGACGTCACTTCTTGGTAGTAAAAGAAAAGCTAGGAAAAGGCTCGTGATGACCAGCGCGCTTCCCATGAAACGGTTCCCTCATGATGTTGTGGGAACAGATACTCTCATTACTTAGTGGAACTTGTGTGAACTGCCCGAGCAAGAACTCGTTGTTGAGAGAGCCTGGTTTTCCTTTGGAGACAATCTTACTCACCACCTATCTTGCTGCCTCTGAGTGACCCTCACTTTGTGACGGTCAGAGGCTGTTGACGCGCTTCTTAGTAGCCGCTCAGTCCGGAACTTCTCACATAAGACAGTGACTATTGCAAGATAATTTCCTTCGACTCATAAACCTCAAGTTTCTTCCTCTCTCTCTCATTTTCAGTTAATTGAACCAACTGATCTTCGTTAACCGATTACATGTCATCTTGATACGGTTAAGCTCACAAGTGGATTGTGAGCATAAGTGAACAAAAGAAAAAGAGGGGGAAACCCCGATCCATAACAGTGGTTGGAGACGTGCAGGCTATGAAAAGAGTCCAATGTACGGCTACTATCCTAAGGGATTTAGCAAGGTCGGAGTGGTTGGTAATTTTAGTATTGACACTTGCCAACTCGGTGTGACCCCCTGCGTTAAGTGGCCTATCTGATCGTACGAAAAGGGTAAGGAATACGCGCAGCCTTTGTATTTGTGGATCCTATGCTATATGTTCACACCATGCGGCTGCCCCGCGTGGCTACACCATGCAGTTATGTCAAGTGGCTGCGCTGTGTCACTGCGCCGTGCAACCGTGTTAAGTGATCGCACCGTGTGGCTACAGCGCGTGACTGCGCAGTGTGCCAGCGTTGCGTGATTGCTCAGTGTTCCTGAAACACGTGACTGCTCAATGTGCCTGCATTGCAGGGCTGCACCGATTGCCTGTATCGTATGTCTGCACCAGGTGACTGCACGGATATGTGATAATGAAGGTTTGCATGTGCTCCCCAGATTGAATAGTTACCCATGAGTGTTTGTGCCTTGAAATACACCAGGGTCATGACCACAGCCTTGCAGGTGCGCGTGTGTGTTGGTGAATGTTCAGCTGAGTGCATTTGTTGGCCTGGTGGTCACTGGCAGGTACTCGGTTGAATATTCTAGGCTTATTCCTCACCAGTATGTCAAAAGGGGAATGTGGGGATGGTTTCTATCGACTAGTGCTCTATGCTTTGGCTTTGATTAGATGGGGAAAAGAAAAGCAGCCCTAAGAAAAATTTTCTATATTCTTGCTCAGCTTATCCTTGATGGTGACTGATTGTAAGGTCCAACTAAATAGGAAATAGCCTGAGTATTCCTCTATAGCAGAGGGGGGGCTCTAATCGGGGAT